TAAGCACTATACTAGGGCAGTCAATGGACCAAAGTCATCGGACAATCCTCATTCAACCCATGACAGTGAAGTTAACGGCAATAGTGACCACACTGAGTATACATTCGGAGGAGATGTGAGAGAATCACAGTTTGATAAACCTACAATCAATGTCACCATACTTGGCACACCGATACAAATAATGGCTGATTCAGGTGCTACAGTTAGTATTTTAAATCACAGAGACTATATGAGCATTAAACCTAGACCACGACTTTCAGTCAGTACAACGAAAGTATATCTATATATGACAGATAAACCACTATATCTGTGTGGCAAATTCCAGACAACTGTCAACAATGATCATAGTTCATCGATTGAAACATTCCACGTAGCTAAGGGTTCATCTAATTCAATACTAAGTTGGAAATCATCACAGAAATTGAAATTCATCAAAACAGTCCACGCAGTCAAAAATCCGCAAATCGACCCTTCGCTCGATATGCTTGATAGTTTTCCAAATCTAACCACAGGTATGGGAGAAGTGTAAACCAGTACACATACATGTTTATGAAAACATAAAACCAGTGGCACAACCCCACTGCCGCATTCCTTTCCATGTAAGAAAACAAGTTGAAGAGAAACTAAATCATCAAGCGTGCACAAGGTCCAACGCCCTGGGTTTCCCCAATTGTTGTAGTACCGAAACCTAACAGGCCGAACGAGATTAGAATATACATTGATATGTGTTCAGTAAATAAGGCCATCATCCGCCAACGCCATATGACCATTGATGACGTGATATCAGATTTAACTGGCTGCACTGTTTTCAGTATTAAAAATTGACCTCAATCAGGGCTATCACCAAGTTCCACTACATCCAGACTCGAGACACCTGACCACATTCTCAACACACAGGACTCTATCGATATAAACGCCTCAACTTTGGGCTATCGTGTGCTGTGGAAATATTTCAAAAGATAGTCGGTGACACAATCCGTGGTGTTCTAACCCAGAGAGATGAAACCACAACAGAAGTCACACCACTATAGTTCGCTAGCTATCCACTAACTCCTACTGACAGCAGATATCCGCAAAATGATCGAGAAGCCTTATCGATATATTGGTCTATTAAACGATTCCATTAATACCTCTATGGAAAAGAGTTTAAAATCATCACGGATCATAAATCGTTAGTATCACTATTCAACAACCCAACTTCCAAACCCACTGCTCGAATAGAATGATGGCTAATGGACTTGCAACAGTACAACTTTATAGTTGAATATCAACCAGGCAAGTCAAACCCAGCAGACTATGCTTCTAGACATCCTGTTGATTCTGATTTTACTGATACATCAGAAGAGTATATCTCGTATGTGACAGAAAATTCTGTTCCAAAGGCAATCACACTGCAGGAAGTTGAGATCGCGACTTCCAATGACCCGACACTACAATGTCTGCAATTAATAAATGGCACAAGGCTCCACCAACAATTTCACTATCTGAATTATCTCGCTATGAACAAGTGAAGGAAGAGCTTACCAGTACCGATACCATAGACTGAAATCAAATCACATAATAATATCCGCTGCACTGCAAGAGCGAACAGTAGACATAGCTCACAAAGCTCATCTCGGCATGGTGAAAACAAAAGGTCTCATGCCTGAGAAAGTATGGTTCCCGTATATGGACAAAATGGTAGAAACCAAAATCAAGTCATGCTTATCCTGCCAGATAGTAACCCCAGTTTACACCAGAGAACCATTACAAATGTCTATCCTACTAGACAATCCATTTGACAAAGTTAGCATAAATTTTGCATATGCAGAAGGTGAAACGCTACTTCTACTCATCGACGACTATTCACGAGAGCCAATATCGTCAACTGCTGCACGTTGTGTCATACCAAAGGTCAACTACTTATTCGTGATGTTTGGCACTCCTGGAATTCTCAAATCTGATACCGGCCCACCATTCAATGGTGAGGAATTTGAGAAATTTCCTTCGATACTAGGACTGAGACATCGCAAGGTAACCCCACTTTGGCCTAGAGCCAATGGGGAAGTAGAACGATTTGTTAAAATGTTGAAGTCGATCAAAGCATCAAAAACAGAAGGAAAAAATTGGAGAAAAGAAATGCAAATATTTCTACAAAACTACCGCACAACCCCTCATGCTACAACCAGTGTATCACCCGCAACCTTGTTTCTGAAACGTATCATACGCAACAAGCTCCCTCAAATAAATGATATTGACCCAGTATCAGGAATCGTACGTAAATATGACTCACTGTAGAAGCACAAAATCAAGCTTCGTGCTG